CCTCGTGTATCTCTTATGTCCAAATGTTTGTTCCCGAGAATTTGTCATCTAGTTGCCTATGAAATCAAATATGAAACTTTCACAAATATGAAACTCCAACACTATACCATTACGCGTTATGAACGTTGAATTCATGTCATCGATACTTTGAAAAGACATTCTCAATTGAGACGAATCCTTGAAATTGGGGTGTTTATCGTTAGACGGAGTGAGCCTAACTGGATCTCTGACGCCTACTGTCTAGCGGAAGCAGGACGGTCTCCTACTGGAGCCAGGTTTGTTTGTTGTCCTGCTGTAGTAGCATCAGGAGAAGGGTCTAAGTGTTTCCATGAACAACCACTGGAAGGGTCATTATCTGGTAAGAGAACAACTCTCGTCTCGACACCACCTTGTTATTGGCGTCTTGCAGCGACGTCGTGTACTTCTCAGCCAGCCTTTGTCTCCTTCACATCGTTGTAGTACAGTTATGGGGAGTGTTATGTAATCTATACAGCCTCTCAAGTTGTTGATGGAGGGAACTCGTGTTTCGTTGTTTGTGTGTTATAATGGATATGTCAATACAAGCGGCTAAAAACCCTATCCATATTCATAAGAATCTTTGCTAAAAATTAGAGTCAACTGCGTGAGTCCGACAATAACATGAGCATCTGCTTATCAAATAGAAATGATGAAAGATGTTCGTGAAAATGTGAGCGTATCCCGCCCCATGGGGGGTATCCATCACAAACACATGCAAAGGCAAGCCAATTGTTCACATGTAGAAACGCACATGAACATATGGTACAACTGAAACAGGAAATTGCATCCGACATTCTTTTGTCAGCTGTGCTTCAAATTTGTAAATGCCATATATATGTGTACCATAACAAGTTTTGAAAGTTTACTGAGGTCTTGAATGCTGTCACCTTCACAAAACAACTCTTGAAATCTTGGTAGAAAGCGCATGCTTGATAGTATCTAAAACTTGTGAAATGTAGCTTGAAAAACAGCGTCGATAGTACGATTCCGTCGATATGATGAAAAATACATCTTGGACAACGCATATCGTTCAGTGGCCACACATGCACAATGCAGAGTTGTAGCCCTTACCCATGTTAGGATGTGAAGATCTTCGATTCCATGATTCGCCCCGATTCTGTTCCTTGATATTTACAATCTCAGGCGTGGGTGTCGCTTGTGTTACATTAAGCTTTGCCTCTGACATTATGGTGCATGAATGCTGTGACATATTGTTGAAAACATCGTAAACAAGATCGCCCACTCGTATATGGCTGAAACCTTCGCGGACTAGATGAACGAATGAGACAGTGAGCAATGTCTTTGGGATTACATTCTGACATAACAAATGCTTGTCTCATCTAGGTAGGGCCGAATGTACTGCGATATACGCGAAGACTCCCGGTGATGAAATAAACTAGTGACAGAATTACGTGGGTGTTGTAATTTTCTGCCAGTTCTACTGTCATAACATTCTCATCACATAATAACCATTCACCTTCACATAACGAAATCACTCTGAAAATTGTTTAATCACCCTGATCAAATTATTCCACCGTTTGTCATATGTTTGGCCTTCAGGTTCCCATGGTAACCCGTGTACTTTATGATTCAATTATAAAATAACCTTTTCTCGGGGATTCATTGCCCGTTATGACCGCCCATCCCGTCTCTACCCACCCACACATTCCAACATTGCGACAAACTTCCCTCGGTCAACACGCCCGAGGGTAGCAAGGGATGGGATTATACTTGCGCATCATTCAGTACATTGAAGTGATGCCCACGATCAATAGCTTTATTACACTCGTCTACCGTCACCTTATCCTGAGTCAACACTTTCACTTTGGTGATAATTCCATTCGGAGTCATAATTTAAACTAGTTACATAGCTGAGCCCCGTTAATAGGAACAATAGCGTTTTAAATGGAAAAATCTGGAATAAGAGATCGGTTTAAATAACAGAAAATACCACAGTGTGTTTTGATATCGAACATATCAACACTAACCCATTAAAGTACAACTTTCCTGGAATGCCCTTCTTTCCATCAATTCAAACAATTCTTCTAACTTCTTTGTAAACGTTACAAACCACTGTAATGAGTGTAAAAAGCATAGCTAACCAGCTTCAGTGGCAAAGAGATTAGTGACACACTTTGAGACTTGTTCTTATAAGCATCAGGTTACCGCCGGTTATAAACGTCGGATATTTTAGAATCTGAATATCATATGATTTAAGTGAAAGCAACAAAACTGTCAACAATGTACGGTGTACTAGCAAGAGGTTCGGACATGCTCCCCCATTTCACGAACACCGGGTGTCATCAGAGAGTTGACCCCGGTTAATTGTCCCTTTGAATTTAGAAATGATATATATTATGTTTGTTTTCTGAGATGGTCCTAGCTGAGATTGACGACAACAGGGACGATGTGGTAGCCTAGCGGTTAAAGCTACATGTTGTCACGCCGGAGAACCGGGTTCGATTCTCCACATGGGTACGATCTGTGAAGTCAAGTTCTAGAGTTATTGCTGGAATATTTGCTAAAAGCGGCGTAAAACCTTAAGCAGTCGGTTGCCAGCAAAATGGCCTGTAAACCTAATCAAATCATCGTGATGAGGTACTGTAGCTTTTGAGTAAAACCTTTTTTACATTTAACTCGATACCTTTATGATTATGAAACCCTATTTGCTCTCCATTTGATACCTTAAAAGTTTGCCTTTTCTAAGACTCATTAGGATACATGAATATTATGCAATATGTCAGGTCTCCAACCAGTAGCGGCTGTGTGTACATTAACAGTCTGATAAGATCTTGTCATGTTCGTGTGTTCCCAGAACGGTTAGTGAGCCATAGTTTTTGTGGTGGGACATTATTGACATAGCATATCCTTTCACATTATGCCTATGTTGTAATACTTTACTCAGAGTGATTAAACGACTAAGATAGATTAATGCTTCTCGATTCTGTTGACTCCCGTCGATATTAATAACAGATCGACTAAGTATCTATTTCAGTGCGTCTGGAGGTTAATATGAAAATAACATGTTGTTCAGTATTGATTACATAATTATCTTATTATTGCATAATCTACCAAGATCGCCATTAACCCGACCTGATATTATGTGAATATTAATTATTAACATTACGCAATATGATCATTGGCATAAGAAGTTACTTTTTACTAATAAATATTGTATCTGAACTCTAAAATACATTATGCTTTTCGTATTTGCACGTCCAGGTAATTCTATCATCTTGTAATAACCTATAACAATTCAAACTATTCCTTAGTTCAGCAATATTGTTAACCGAAAAGGGATATCACGAATTTTACGATCGATGATGATATCACTTCCGCAGTATACTGGCGCAGTGGGCATTCCGTGGAAGAAGAGGTGTCCAGATGCTTGTCGTAAGAGCCGAGTAAAGAGCATTTAGTGGTCAGGCTCTGGTTCAGGCTCTGTGACCTACCTGGTTTCTTGTCATGGTCCTCTGATTACCGAACCTCTCAGATAGTGATGACACTGTTTCTATGACCAGTACGTGTAGTAACACATAGCGTTGAAACGCGTAGGAGGGAATTTACCCATGGGGTCTATTTTTATATATGTATGTATACTGTTAAGGTATATACTGTACACTGCTTTAGTATAAGGAAAAGTTGACAGTACAGATGCATAATTGTGGCAAAAGTCGTCATCGTAGTCCTATTATGTCATATGACATCGCCGGGAACGTAGAAATGGACTTTCTGTAGATTGTATTTATATGTCACGGTTACATTATTTGCGACCCTATCACGCGGGCTGCTGTACTATAGGTGACATCTGGCACGGTCTGAATGGATATTTTCCACTTCTACCAATAACAACATCAAACATTGACTTAAGACATTTTAAGGGATCTATATTCTATATTCGATATTGTTTAGTAAAAATGTAATGTCAAAATGAGAGATTGACTACTGAAACAAATATATACTCATGATATTGTCCCAATTGTACAACCGACTCTGCTTTTAGCAGAGATTTCTTCTACATGTTTAAAGGGTTTTGTCGCTTCTATTCACAGAGTTGATGTACATATACTTATTAACTTCCACCTCATAATGTTGTATTTGGGAAAGGTACTGCGTCCTACCTGCTGGGCTACTGTGTAGTTATTACCTGGAAAGGTGCCAACGGTTCAATTTTCATTGGAGTTGATAATGAATTAATCTATTCCTTACTCAGAAACAGTGTCCAGATGATTTCATTTGAAATGATTGGTAGCATCTAGCAAACACGAAACAAGATCAATGCAGAAAGTACACGCGAAATGAACACACAGTTGGAGAGAGGTTCGTATCGACACATCACATGCATTGTCCACTTAACGTTTGAGTGGCACTGAAATGGCGTTCTTTGTCTTTTTCTAGGACATCCCATATTAAACACTGAGTATTTGCCAAAGTGTATTGGATTCTTCAGTTATTTCCCAGCTTGACTTTCAATGAAAAGATGAATCCAGTGAGTAAGTGGTGTTTTACTGTCTCGCCTAACTACCTAACACACCCAATCTCACAAGAACATCCGCAGTCTTAACACAGATCGATGCTGTAAAATGCCCGTGGTAACACACACGCGATTTTTGTTTGATAAATTCCCCTAGATATCTGTTATGATATGACGATACTTAACAGATCACAAACAGTGAAGCGCATTAATTCACCAACACAATTATGACCAGTCCCCCGAGTCAGCCATGTTCGATTGATGAAACAAAGCACACGGCAGGCGAGTCTGCGCGCCCACAGCACGCACCATGTTGCTCCAACTCCACTGCTATTAGCGATACGAGTAAGCTAGTAATTGTTGCGTTAGACACATTCCTTGTGATTGTGAAAGGCCTACCAACCCAGAGATGAATGTTGGAAGTAATGGACTGGCTGTTTCGTTTGATTGGCTGATGAGCGATTTCCAGTCGTTTCCCTTTTCTGTTGGTGCGCCATCTGCCGGGATGATTTGATTGGCCGCTCTTCAATTTGTGAAATTCGATTCCTCTTGTGGCAAAAGAGATGACTTCAGTAGTGATCAAGTCACAACTTTGCTGAGTTTGGGATGTAAATTTAACGCCCATGTTTGTGTGACTTTTTTGTAAGTGTGATATTTCTGAGGGGATAACGAAAGGATTTTCTACCACCAGGAGAATGTAGACACGTATAGCTCGTGTTGTGCCCGACGTACAGTTTACAAGTCGGTAGGTATAACATAAGTTTGACAAAGTTTGGTGACTCTTGTGGGAGTATTATATAACAACACACACCTCGTGAACAAAGCCAATGGGAACCGAGGCTATCGATTAGGTTAGCTAAGGTCTTAATCACAAAATAACATCTACGTGTATTATTGTATTGCCAGAGGTGCAGACACCTTCCCCAGATACGTGATGTAATATGATAAACAATACTTTTATCTTCCCATGGTACTCTGAGCACTGGCAATGATGAAGAGAAACACTTATACGTGATGGCATTGTAGCTTTGATGTTGCAAATTATTTTATCACTATTCTCTCGTGATATTGTTTTTTTAGCATATGAACCTATATGTAACATGTAATACGACATCGTCAGCCTTCTTGTTAACTGAATTGACATGTCATTCCAATGATTAAAGGTGTTAACTGTGTCCGAGTTCGAATCCCCTGCGAGGACATTTGGATATCCAATTGAAGCGGCATACTGTAAGGCTCACTCACACCCAAGTCAGGTGTAATAACAACAATAATCTCCTTACCCACAGCAATACCAACATACATCAATATGCTGAATAGTCTAGGATTCCAACAGGGAAGGTTGTGTATGCTTACATTACTTCTACTTCACTAGTGATTGTATAATCTATAAGTGTCGGCAAATACAAGCAGTAGGAGAGCATGTGGAAATGCATCGATGGCGCTGCATTGAGAACAGGTGTAACTACCTCGGCTACCTTGACTTCTGTGCAGTTCAACAATTGCAGTTATTGAAGTATAAATAACCAAGTATGGAGTCCTCGCGGGACCATGTTTGACGTAGCTTTTGAATTATACATCGGTGTGTGTCCAGTGCGACTGACACCAAGTCATATATATGTATTGGTCTCGAGTGTAGCACATGTACCCGCGATGACATCCTGCCGCTTGTCATGTCTATAACTGTACGTAATCGATTACAAATAAATACCAGGAGAATACTTATCATCGTTACCCATTCACAAGTCTGTTCTCACCGTATACACTGGCAACGTGATATATGGATTTCTTCAGCGTGGACAAGTAACGTCACTGCAACCTTGTACATATGTATACAATGACAATGTACTCAGGCGTACGTCATTGTTCTATATTACTTTTCTCATATCATATGCTAAATCCTTAAAATGCTCCATCTAATTTATTGTATCAGTAAACTCGCGCTTAATTGGTGATGTTACTGTGACAATGTCCAACCATGTGTGAAATTCAAATCTGGGGATTTAATTATATTATATTCTCTCATAATTAAATGTGTTTTTGCTTTTCGTCAGAATTGTATCGTTTACTTCATGGTACTAGGTTAACATGCGCATATACTTAATTATATACGTACATCTGTTACCTGGCATTATTTGCATATGCACGCTGTCATTCTCTCGACGTGAACCCCCAAACACAGCATTGTACGCCTCACAAAGGTATGCATGAAAATACCTCTGTATGCATGAAAATACGTCTATGCATGAAAATACTACTGTGTGCATGTATTGCCGTCGTTTGTTATCCTATTTCATGACAGGCATCAGTGGTAATTATCGCTATCCTTACCTCGTTGCTGACAATCGTTTCGGTACGATACCTTTAACACATCTACCCTCACAGTAACCTGCATTCCTTGCTTCTGTTATGCTGGTACAATGAGGTGTTCCACAACAAGCCGATCCCTACCCCCTCGGGACCGTGCAGCCCGGCACCAACACATGACTGTGTAGAGATCGATGTGCTCACATATCTAGTAATATTAAGATTACCCTGAAACCTGAACTCGAACCATTGAGGCTATGCAAGGCATCTCACTGTGTAGTTCCAACACATTGATTAAGTAAAATTCTTTTATTCTAAAATTCTCGGCCACCTGCTGTGGAAATGTCTCATAGCAGGTTCTTTGGCATGAATTCGTTTTGAGTGATGGTAATATGACTGTGGGCATTCTTTGACACACTTGTTCAAACATACAGGCGGAACATGCTTATAGGCTTTGTTGATGAAAACAAGCCGCAAGTCTTAAGATAGATTTATTCTTTAATATTGAATTACGTGCCATTCAACTATCGTGCTTTATGTAGGTAGGTTTGTTTGCATACATACTTTGGGAAATAGCAACTGGTATATAGACAGTTAGTTATTCTTCAACGTTGTTTGGTAAACCTCAACTTCTATGGACTGTTTTTCGACAATTATCATTTCAACAAATTATCATAAACAAATGGTTAATTGATATGTAGGTTACATCTATGGGTGTCCGGTTGATAATATAGGTCACCAGACACCTATCCCCGGGGAATCGGACTTGACTAATTGCATGTCACACGGCGTGAAACCTTCACTCACTCACTCACTCACTCACTCACTTGTTAGTCGGGTAACAACTCGATTGCATACAGCTGGACTATTGCTTAGTGCGGCGTTAAACAACAACTAAACGAAAAATAGGCTAAACCTTTCAGAAAATTGTTTACGAAATTGGCATGCTGCATTAAGCAAATTTGATCAATCTAAGTACCATGTTGTACCACGTGACGGTAGGTTGATATATGTTATAGAACCATATAACCATGACTATAACATCTCCTCACGAACCACACCGCCCTCAATGACGAGTATCGGTCGATTTTAGATGAACTCTAGCAAACGTATATTTCCTTAAGAGAAGGCCGCTTTCTGGGGTATCGCAGATATGTGTCAGGCTACATGTATCAAGTGAAAAGTTTATGGGCCGTGTCATTTATTCATTCGGTCGTTTAGACAATGGAACCGCTAGATCATGTACATACATACATACATACTAACATTTGTATAGCGCCGATATCCAGCTCAGCTCAGCTGCTCAAAGGCGCTTTGTTTTTCCCTCGTTCACTGGATGTCAATCTCAACGGCACATCGTATTGTCAATCTCAACTCCCTGGGGAGCATACAACTCTTGCAGCCACTAGGCGCACCGAGTTATTGTGGCATTCCCATCCTTACGAGGTACCCATTCACAGCTGGGTGGACTGGGACACATAGTCACAGTACTTTGTCCAAGTTTACTGCACGTTGCTGTACCCGCAACTAGGTGTTTGCACGTATTCATGTGGCCACCATCTGGTCATATACCAACGGATTCGTGGGTTCTTTTAAGTGCACAGGGTTGTGTACTGTACACTAGGGGTTGTGACAACACTGACAGAGTCTGCGCACATGTATACTAAACGAGTAAGAGATCTAAACCTCATGGCTCAATGGTGGGTTAGAACTCGGTACCTGTCCAAGGTTAGTCCTAACAGTACTAAATGTGACACGACAGCAGCTCCTGCCTCCATGTACATACCAATTGGTGTCTTCAGTGGTGATTGTTCCATGATTATTACTGATGCTTCTTGACTTCTCAGAGGCTTCAATCTATAACTTTATTGGAATATTTATAAAATATATGCAGTTGATATATACATATAAAACCCATGTGTACTAATAACAGTTATTTTAAACTATATACACATCATAATATTGAGGTTTAAAGATGTCCGTTTTGAGATCGTCTTGTTTGCATCATTGCGAAAATTCCGCATAAATAGGAAATCCTTAACTGATAGATAATATGCATTGTTTAATATGAAATAGCAAACGAAGTTGGCTTAGACCGAATGAAAATTGTTGCTAATTTGCCAGAGGTCTTCCCTCTCTTAATGTTATTAACAGAGATGTGTTATCTGTTATCTGCTCAAGGTTCATATGTAGCTGACAGAGAATTCATTAACGATTAGGTTTCACTCTCCATTCGCCCATATTCCAGCTGTATCATGGAGGATCGTATATAGATAATTTGGACCAATCAAACCACTGCTTCATGGTATAAGTGTGGACATTTTCAAATATCATGGATCAGTGACAGAAATGTCAGATACAATTCCTGTGTCCCCGTGTTTGTTCGTGCGAACACTTCACGTGCATTGGCATGTATTTGTGCAGGACGCCAGCTTTGGGGCAGGATACGCTCACCCCTATCGCTATTTGATAGTGACTCACAAACACATGACAGTCCAAATCGTACCATAATCCCTGTGGTTTACGTGTATGAAATATATTAAGATACATGGTCAGATATTGATTAGAGTTTATTAAAGGCTGTGTAAGAGTGATATCCAATCGACTGTGGACATGTATGATCTATCTTTAATCAAAGATTTGAAATAATCAGTCTTCCTTCATCCAACTCCCGCTGATTTGTAGATCCGATCATTTTGATTTGACACCAATAGGGCATCTAAAAAATAGGTTATTCTATTATATACACGATCAGATGACACGGCCTATCTACATAAAGAAGGAAGTGTTATTCACAGGTCTTGAGTAAATTCTATATGGGAAATGTGCAAAGCAGATTGGGTCAGACGTAAAGGTCACATATCATGGTGTTAGTTTCACTCTGCTGACGGTTTGTCGCTGGGTTTTCGTGTTTGGTTATTTTACACAAAATAATGACAGACAGGCATAAGACACATGAATAAAATGACCGACTCTCTCATATAATGTCATCTTTTCTATCAGTTCTATTAACCGTTTCCTGAGCATAAATCTAGTCAGATATGGGAAATCATGAAAAAGGCACATCAATATTTTATTACGAAGGTGAAGAAAGAAATAGATTGAAAATTTGATGATTCGATCGTCCAGCTTCTACAGCAGCAGATCTTAAAGTCACAGTCTTCAATTTGATACCCGACAATTCCTCTCCAAACTAAGTCATATTAGTTCAACAAAATTCAATTTATTCTAAAAACATATCGATTACTTTTGTTGAAATGCCGAGAAATCCGTGTTTTGACGAGCCTCTGAAACTCCATGGGCTCAGAGGCCGGTACCCCTAACGTTGATGTAAGATGAGGGATGGTGTAGAATACCTCAGCCACTAGCTCTCACAAAGGGGAGGCCGTTATGCATATTTGATACAAATCGGGCTTTAGAACGCTTCAGCGACTTCAA